GTGATGGGGACTCAAGGTTATGCCGCTCCTGAGTACGTCGCCACAGGTAATTTGCAAAGCAAGTGCGGCTAGCATTGCATAAAGATTCATTGTTCATATTCTAACGTCATTCCTAATTATATACCAGGGCATTTGTACGTGAAGAGCGACGTCTATGGTTTTGGTGTTGTATTGGTAGAAATGCTTACAGGGTTAAGGGTACTTGACGAAAATCGTCCAGGTGGGAAAGAAAATCTGGTTGAATGGGTGAAGCCACATTTATTTGACAGAAGGAAGTTAAAGAACATAATGGATTCTCGTTTGGAAGGAAAATATCCTTCAAGATCTGCAATACAAATAGCTCAGCTTGCTCTATCATGTATTGAAAGTGAACCAAAAAACCGACCATCAATGCGAGAAATTGTTGAGATCCTAGAGCGCATTGATTCTGTTCATGAGAAACATAAAGAGGTTAAAGTAAATTCTAGGCCTCAACCATCTTCTCGAGCACAGAAACCTTCGCAATATCGTTCTCCAATTCATCATCCAAGGCACAATCATTCTCCAATTCATCCAAGGCACGATATAAATCAAGCCTACCCACTGCCACCTCGCACATAAGTTTTAGTTAGGGTATTCATTTGGAGCTGATCTTTACGCATATTTGTTCCAATCTCATGTTCCTCAAAGCCTCTTTAAATGAATGAGATTCTGTTTTCCAGAGTTAAATAGATGAGAATATACTTGCGAAAAGCAGTTCTGTGTACTTAAGAATAATGCATGATGTAAAAAGATTGTCACCTGAATATATAGATACATTTTTTTAACTGTTGACATATCATTTACTTCGTTAGAGCCTTTCGCAGTTAAGGATTGAGAACACTTCTTTTTATTCAATGCTACCTATGTCTTGTGTACTAGGAAAATTTATGGTGATTTTGGGAGCTTTTATTTTGCATGACCAATAAGAGAACATTTTTGAAGATTTGGCAAAGAAATATAGTAGTCCTATGCCCTAGTTTTTGTGAATGAAGAGAAGTATCCCACTGCTTTCTACTTTCTCATATAAAATTATGCATGTGTTTGGGAATGAATTCGTCCATTGTCTACAAAAAATAGGGCCCACAATGTTGCAGCATTTTTTAACTACACCGTCCGGTCAATTAGAAATTTTAGTGAAAAGACCATGGCGTTCTCTACTTTTTTGAAATTCCACACCATTACAAAGACATTTTTGACATTCCAAATAATAGGTTAAAGATAGCTGCAGGTTTTGTCCCTTTTATGGCCAATTTCCTTGTAGATGTGAGGCCCATTTACCGTATGTAACAGTCAAAATTTTCATTAAAATTTGAGAGAAATCGCTCCCAAACACACGCTATAATGTTCCTTTCATTCCATTTAAATGTGGAACCTAGATATTTACAATTCAGAAATACTGAATTTTCTTTGAATAGCTCTTGAAAGGGGTTCGAACTAGTTGAGTACGAGGATTATCATTAGTATAGTTCTTAGTAAATTTATCAAAGACAATTGATTATTTACTTTCAAGTAGGGATGACAATTCGAACCGTCAATACCGAAAATCGCGGTTAATCGAATCGAACGGAGCGAAAAAATCGAACCGATGGTACAATGTGGTGAGTATAGTATTTGATTTTAACGACCCGGTTCGGGGCGGGGGCGGGGGGGGGGGNTTCAGTAATCTGTGAAAGATGAGTGAGCAAGTAGTAATCAAGTGTAAAGTTAAGTGATTATTGGTTAAATTTACTCTATTTTTTTCTTCAGCTGTAATTTTAACCTCTAAAAGCAACAACGCAACGTTAATGGCATTGTCTCGTTGAATTTCTTTACATTTGGAAAAATGGCTACGTCCGCCATTTTTGACTTGACTTTGATTTGCAGTTCATTAATAATTTCATCTTGCACCACCCCACGACTCAGTCTCTGTCTGCAATTAATTATTGAGCAAATAAATTGGGCTCGAAACTCCAAACAGTTGAAAATTGTTTACAAAATATTTATTGAAGAGGAAGAAAAACCTGCAGCTTTGATCTGAAAATGAACATCGATCGATTGCTAGTGTTATTCATTTGGCGGGTTTATTGAATAATAGAGTTTAGTCCGATCGAGTATTGAAAAGTTGGGTATGGGAATCTGCTTCAGCTCTGACTCGGTCAACCAGAGCCCAACCACCACCGAGCAATTAAGTTCAGGTTTGGATAACCCTTTCTGGTTAATTCAATCAAAATTTTATAAATTTGATTTCAATGAATTATCTATAAATTGCTTTTCATGTTTTAGTTGATTTTGTTCTTCTACTTTTAGTTTGGTAAATTAGTAATAGGTAGGGATGATAGGCTCGAAACCTATGGCTGTATCAAGCTGCATTCAGATTTGAATTATCCTTGGGTGTACATAAAGAAGATGGCCTATATTCGTGTATGTGAATCCGAATCCTGACCTTTAATTTGGTAATTAGTAAAAGATAGGATCCGAACCTTTGGAGTTATCAAGCTGTTCTTGGAATTGAATACCTCGTGTATATGTGAAAAAGATGACTATTCAAACCTATTTCATGGACGTGAATACGAATCTATTTTTGTTTGTAACCAATCTTCTCGTTTATTTTCTTAAAAAAGATAACTAATCCTTAAATATTTGAGGGTTGGCTTACTGAATTTTATGTTATTTAACTGCATAATTCATTAGTTGAAGAAAGAAAATCAATATATGCCCTCTTTGATTATTTTGGTTATGCTTTACGTTAAAGTTGTGTGTGTATACTGCAGTTGCAACTTCTCAAACGACCGGAAATATAACGTCATCAACGGTAAATAGCAATGTGTCTGGGAACAGCCAATTCTCGGCTGCCAGTGGGGGGGACGAGGCTAATCCGTCTGGACAAATACTACCTCTCCCCAATTTAAGAATGTTCACCTTTTCTGAGCTGAAGGCCGCAACAAGAAATTTTAGAAGTGATACGGTGTTGGGAGAAGGTGGCTTTGGGAAGGTCTATAAAGGTTGGCTTGATGAGAAAGGCACGACGAAAGGTGGAAGTGCAACCGTAATTGCAGTTAAGAAGTTAAATACCGAAAGCTTTCAAGGATTTGAAGAGTGGCAGGTAATTCAAATTTGTTCTCTCAGTAATGCAACATTTCCTATGGCTATCAGTCATCAATTCTTCTCTGTGAAATGCACTATCTTACTATTCGATACTCAATGTTTTATATTTTCCATTTGAAGCATTGAAAATAGAATTGTTTTTTAATAATTTGCTTAATAAACCTATGTGGAGGTTGTAAAAGGCGTGATTAGTTGTTCATCATCTTAGTGTTCTTATATCAGTTCATTTCTAATAATTAACTCAAATTATTTCTGAATCTGTCTGCATTTTGTTCATTATTTATGTGTACAGTCTGAGGTAAACTTTCTTGGAAGGCTTTCTCATCCTAATCTGGTTAAGCTGTTGGGATACTGTTGGGAGGATAAAGAGCTATTGCTTATTTACGAGTTTATGCAGAAAGGCAGCTTAGAGAACCACCTTTTCGGAAGTAAGGGTCTCTAGTCTCTCATATTGCATGGATTAGCCGATGGCCATATTCTTTTAATTCTTCTGAGCACTGCGTTTCAGGGGGTTCTGCTGTTCTGCCTCTTCCATGGGACACAAGGCTTAAGATTTTAATTGGAGCAGCTCGGGGACTAGCATTCTTGCATGCATCAGATAGAAAAGTTATCTATAGAGACTTCAAGGCCTCGAACATATTGCTTGACGGGGTAAATTTTTTTACACGCGATTTACTGCCAATTCTTTTTCATTTTGGAACTTTAGCCAGCATTTTCCATCATAATTAGCTCGGCTTAGTTCTGTTTTATACTTTTGAAAACTTTATAAATCTTGAAAGATTGGGCAAAATTGTGTTTGCAATAAATTGACTTAACAGAAGATTTAATGGTAAGAAGGATGCTTTCATTTTTTTGACATTGATTAAAATTATTTTTGCAGTCATACAATGCCAAGATATCAGATTTTGGCCTTGCGAAAATGGGTCCAACGCCTAGTAAATCCCACGTGACTACACGTGTGATGGGGACTCAAGGTTATGCCGCTCCTGAGTACGTCGCCACAGGTAATTTGCAAAGCAAGTGCGGCTAGCATTGCATAAA